CAAAGTGGTTCTCAACACTCGACCTTAAGAGCGGTTATTGGCAAGTGGAGGTAAGTGACGAGGACAAGGAGAAGACAGCTTACAGCGTTGGAGACGGTCTGGGGCTTTTCACGGTGGTGCCCTTTGGATTATGCAACGCTCCTGCCACTTTTGAAAGGCTTATGGACCATGTGCTTAAGGGACTGCATTGGAAAACCTGCTTGGTGTATCTAGACGACATTATTGTATTGCGTAAAAGCATCGAGGAACACCTTAACAATTTGGAGGAAGTTTTCCAGAGGATAGCTGGCGCTGGTCTGAAGCCAAGTCCTAAAAAGTGCTCACTGTTCAAAAAGGAGGTGAACTACTTAGGGCACAAGGTGCCAACGGGGGGCGTCTGTACTGCGAAGGAAAAGATTGAAGCAGTAAAGGATTGGCCAAGACCTAGGAACCTGCACGAACTACGAAGTTTTCTTGGGCTATGCACCTACTACCGCCGATTTGTTCCGAATTTCGCCAGCGTTGCTAATAGCCTCCACGAGCTCACGAGGCAAAATAGAACCTTCGAGATGAACAAGGAGCAGGAGGAGGCTTTCCAAACTCTGAAGGAACGGCTGTGTACTGCACCTATGCTAGCGTATCCCGTTCTAGGTGCAACGTTCATTTTGGATACGGATGCTAGTGGTTATGCCATAGGAGGCCTACTGTCGCAGGTAATTTATGGGCAAGAGAAGGTAGTTGCCTACTATAGCCGGTCGATTGGAAAACCAGAGAGGAACTACTGCGTAACTCGGAGAGAACTACTAGCGTTGGTNCCCGTTCCAGGTGCAACGTTTATTTTGGATACGGATGCTAGTGGTTATGCCATAGGAGGCGTACTGTCGCAGGTAATTGATGGGCAGGAGAAGGTAGTTGCCTACTATAGCCGGTCGATTGGAAAACCAGAGAGGAACTACTGCGTAACTCGGAGAGAACTACCAGCGTTGGTGGAGTGCGTCTAACATTTCCACAAGTACCTCTATGGGCAACGTTTCCAAGTTCGAACGACCATGCAGCGCTGAAGTGGCTACTACAGTTTAAGAATCCAGAAGGACCAGCTAGCTCGGTGGATTGAGAGACTGCAAAGTTATGACTTCGCTATTGAGCACCGCAAGGGAAGTGTCCACGGTAATGCTGATGCCATGTCCCGCCGACCATGTAGCCTGGAATGTAAACACTGCTCAAAAGCTGAGGGAAAAGAGGACATTATAGACGTCCGTCTAACGACAATAACNAGAGACTGCAAAGTTATAACTTCGCTATTGAGCACCGCAAGGGAAGTTAGGGTTGCCGACGTACTACTTTTGGGAGTAAACGTACTCCTTTTTATTGCAATTTAGTACCTTGTACTTCAAAAAAAAATAACTGTAATGTACTCCTTTTTTAGTTTTGTACTTCTTTTGTACTCCTTTTTCCAGCTATTAATATTTTATACAGGGAGTAAAATAATAACTGTTGCACAGTTTTGTTTTTGAAAAATAAAAGGTATTTTTATAGATTTCGCGAAAAAAGGAGTTTATTGTTAATGATCCACAGATTTTACTTAAACTTTAGTAGTAAAGTAAAAAAAGTATTTTATTGTTAATTTTCTACATTTTACTTAAATTTTATTAATTAGTTTTTAAATTTTTACCTTCATTTGGGTTTACCAACGCGTTTGGGAGAAAAGCGCAAGCGGCACGCAAGTCTTCGTCGGTTACTTTATTACATATCTTCTGTAACCATAAGCGAATTTTCCCAATTTGGGTCCATTATACATAGCAATCGAAAAGACTCGGAACTGGTTACTAAGGGGGGCATTCATTCGACCAACCCTATACAGTTTTTTTATACAAAGTCTAAGAAAAAATACGCCTGAAAAAGACGTGCGTGCCGCATGTACTTATCTCCCAAAGCTGAGAAATGCAAATAAGGATTAAAATTTTAAAACTAGTTAATAAAATTAAAGTAGAATATTTACAAAGTTGACAAAAAATAATTTTTTCCGAAAAAATCTATAAAGGACCCATTTATTTTTCACAATACCTGTGCGACAGTTATTATTTTACGCCCTGTACTTTTCCATTCATATTGTGGCAAACACTAATTAGTAAGCAAAGTTAAGTGTGATAGTGAAAAGATGTAAGCATGGTCGTAGCCAGGTAGGTGCAGGGCGCTCGGGTATACAAATCAGAAAAATATTAAATTAATTATAAGGCTTAAATTAAAAAAAATAGCCATACATTCAGGAAATGTCTAGAATTCTTTTGTAGAACTTAGTTGGGGAAACTTTCCTATAAGGGCGGTGATTGAAGAGGCGGTGAGCGAAGGGGCATCTCCAACTCCCCTTTATGGAGAGGGCATGAATCGCCATTGTTAAAAATGCAACCCCCGACCACCTAGGCCACCTATGGGTCCCTAGGAACTCCTTGGAAAAATCGGCATAAATCACAATATTCACTTGCGTCCACAGCATTTTTGCGTAGAATTCCTTCCTGAGTAGGCGGTCTTTGGCCGCGCTTAGGGTTTGTAACCCTTACTACGTAGAATTCTGCTTTCTGGTTGCCGGAGAAGAGAGGAGAAACCACTCTTCTTTTGTCAAAAGTGTATAACATTTCATGTGGCACCTCTTCTGTTAGCATGGGTATATAAAATGTCCCGTGCAAATAAATATTCAGCATTTTTCAAGCAAAAAAACGGAGGTGACTTTTGGCCATTTTTCTAAGGAGTCTCTAGGGAACCATAGGGGGCCGAGGTGGTCGGGAGTAACACTTTTGTCAATGGCGGTGCATGCCCTCTCCAAAAAGGTCGTTTGGAAGTCCCACGCCTACTTCCCCTTCGATCACCATCTCTTTAACGACCGCCCTTACTGGAAAGACAACCCATTTAGTTATTTATTTTTACTTTGAAAAAGATTTCTAAGATATCTTTGTTTATTTTTACCTAATTAATAGTAACTTGTAACAATAAATTGCACAAAAAATTAAAAAAAAGTGTACTCCTTTTTTATGTCTTGTACTGCCTTTTTTCTATCGAAAATATAAATGTACTCCTTTCTCCGTTTCAAAATCTGGCAAGCCTAAGGGAAGTGTCCACGGAAATGCTGATGCCATGTCCCATTGACCATGTAACCTGGAATGTAAACACTGCTCAAAAGCTGAGGGCAAAGAAGACATTATAGACGTCCGGCTAACGACAATAACACCAGCGGAAGAGTGGAAGGAAGAACAGCTACGAAAGTGTCCGCCGAAAGATCCAGATCTGGAGCTTTTGATGCATGGACTGGAAGTAGACGGAAAGCCCCATCGCAAAGGCGTACTGGGCACAATGGAACAGCTTAAAATTAATATCTGACTGTTTGCACAGGGTATGGGAAAGTGAAGATGGCCAGGCTCCCTGAACCTAATAGTAGTAGCAGGTCCATTTCCTATGAGCGCACAGGGAAACAAATACATCCTTGTGGTTATGGACTACTTTAGCAAATGGCCGGAGGTATACTCGATTCCAAACCAGGAAGCTAAAACAGTAGCGGAGGTATTCACCTACAATTGGGTTGCGAGAAACGGCGTACCTATAGAGCTGCACTCTGACCAGGGAAGATATTTTGAATTGGCGGTGTTCCAAGAGATGTGCCAGATACTGGGTATCCGGAAAACTCGAACAAGGGCTCTTCATCCCCAATCGGATGGCATGGTGGAACGGTTCAACCGAACCCTGGAAAAGCATTTGCGGAAGGTCGTGGACAAGAATCAGAAAGATCGGGATGTCCGCATACCCTTCTTCCTGATGGGATACCGGTCAGAAGTGCAGGAAACAACGGGTAAAGCTCCTGCAAGGGTAATCTTCGGCAGTGAGCTCCGTTTGCCTAGTGACCTGAAGTTTGGAGTAACTGGCGATGCAAGGAGGATTAGGTAAAAGACGTCCAACATCCTGGAAGAGGAGTTGAGAGAAATACATGCTCTTGTGAGAAAGGGAACTCAAATTATGAGTGACAAGATGAAAGCCAGGTATGATAAGGCAATGAATATAAGGTCGTCAAACGGCTGAACGGCGTAGTGTATCGGATCCAGACCGTTGGGAGACCAAGAAACAAGATGAAGGTGGTCCACTTGGAAAGCATGCAGCGTTTGGAACAGCAAGTGTGTTTGATCGGGACGATCAGACTTAGGTGGAGGGCAGNCGACAGCCATATTTTTACTTGAAAGAAAGCGTGCTGGTGGTAACATCGACGAAATTTTGATATTAAATCAAAATAAAAATCTGTTCTCTATTGGACTATTTATGATTACGTTTTAGGAAATTATTCAGCAAGTGTTTTAAAGAATTAAATGTTTCTAAACACCGAAATTGAGAGAATGTTGTCTGGTGGCGTCATGCGGCAAATGCCTATTTCAAGACATCAAAGTGCCCACACACAAAAACTTGTAATCATATTGCTCGTCAAAATGGCAGTTGGTAAGCCATCGGTGTTTGCCTGTGGAGTTCTGCGGTAACAATAGTAGCTGAAATTAGGAATGTTCGATATTTAAGAAAGTATCGATATCATGAATCGATTTAATGAATCGATATGGCTATATATCGGTCTGAACAACATCGATATCGAAAAAAAGGATGTTGAAAATCCTACTCCCAATTGAATAAAATATTAAATATTAATATTTCCAATTTGTATATTTACTGAGGGTTAAAACGGTATGCCGATCGACTCAAGCGGTTTGTCAAACTTAAGAGCTAAATAAATCACATAAGCTGCTACTTTAGTATTTTCCCATACACTTTTTTGTAGATGAAAAATAAATTTCAAATTAAATATCGATATTGCGGGTAAGGTATCGATGTTTTCGATATATCGACCTTGGAATATCGATTCAAAAAATCGATTCTCGTGCCAAGAAATATCGATATTCAGGATAATCGATACGATATCGAACATTCCTGGCTGAAATTACAAATATCTCGACAGCGGCCCCATCTAGCGGTTTTAAAGTTTCTTAAAAGTTGAACAATTCGATATTTGCTCGAACACACCGTTGTCATCTATTGTGAATCGTCCGACAATAAACAGCTGTTATAAAAAACAACAAATATTCTGCAGTTTTGGTGTTGTTTTCGTGGGATATTTTGTTTTGGTCATTATAAAAATGTAAGTAAGCATTTATAAATAAACCAAAAATTTAAACGTTTACAAAATCTGATATTTTACTACAGTTTTGGATAAGTGTGTATTGAGTTTTACATCGTTAAACTTGAAACTTAGTTATCACTGAATGAAACACTAACCGAAAAATCAATAGAGCCCAAACCTTTGTACCTGGCATCAGGAATTACATAGGCGGCCATAAAAAAATTTCATGACATGGGCGCCGAGCATTCTCAGCAGCGCGCAGAGGCGGATGGCCGCGAAATTTTTGAAGGCGATTTGAAAATTTCTCTTGGCAATCATCGGCAATCACACAGTACCACACCCACAGGGAGCGCGAAAAGACGTGCAGGTCGACAAAGTTCCAACAGTGGCAGCACCAACCGAGGTAGCAAACATATCGTTGAGACAGTAGCAGTAACTGCATCGCCAACTACCTCTTTAGAGCTAAGTCGGCCACCCTCACCACCGCTGAGTGTTTGCTCTGATTTGCCTTATGTTTCCTATACGGATCGCCCTATTGGTGACTCACCGAAAATACGCAACAAGCCACATAGTAGACATCAACAACAGAGTAATATAAATCGTAATACCGGGATACGCAAGTCCTTCGGTGCTACTCCGAAGCGTCCGCAATCCACTTCAGGCACAATAGTGATTGTTAAGCCCGGTGCGCGGGACGCAGACTATGACGCTGATGCCGATTTAACGCGTTTGCGAAATATTCCACAGTTTCTGCCAGTTCTGCGCGATTCTATTACAACGGCGGCGTTTACACGAGATCAAGAAGTTTTAGAGCGTTTAAATTCACAGCATTTAGTGAATATTTGCTGTCGAATGCAGACACATTTAAATATTTGCGCTACACAAGTAGCGCAGGAGCAAAATCATCTTGTCGAACGTACAAAGGTGGTTAGTAATTCTATAACGACTCTTTTTGCTTCCTTTGTCGATATGCAGAAAACTTATGCCGCTTACGCCGAGCAATTTTCCAGAGTGCGTACTATTTCGCAACAGCTAAGTCGATGTAATTCTTTGCTCCATGACAATATTGCTAGTCTGGAAGCTATAAATAATTTTCTCGATATTGAAGATCGCCTGGAGCCTTTCATTTGGCGAACAGATGATATTAAACAGCGCGGAGAAGCCGAGGGGGCACCTGGTGGCGGAAGTGGGCGATTGACGCGTATGTAGTATGTTTCAGTAGCAAAATTATCAAACATTAGAATAAGTATATGAGCATGAAAAGCTGTTAGCTGCGAGGGCTCCATCCTTTAAATTAAATTGTGGTCGAAAATGTGATTCATCGTCAAATTTGTTTTTCGAAACGTAAATCTCACGTTTTACTCGCCTAACTTTTAATAATTTCGATCTGTAGTTGTTGTAAATCGTAATGGCCATTATTGATATAGTCCGTATATGTATGTGTATCTTTAAGATTTAATGTTAATAAAAATGCAAATAAACACAAGGCTAGAGAATACATTTAATTTAGTTATAGTTCCTCGCCTAATTTAAACAATTTAAACTAAGATAAAATAACAATTAAAGGGGTTAGAATCAAAAGGATCTAAGTAGATCTGAAATTTGTTTGAGATAATTAAGGTTAAAGTTGATTACTTATTGTAAATTCTGGCTAAACGCATTTGAAATGATTATTGCCTAAATGAATGCCAGTTAATTAACTAATTCAAAGAATGTTTACTCTTTGTCACCAAATAAACTATATTTAACAATACAAATATGGGTATAACTTATATTTTCAAAAAATGTCACTTAGACCCTTATGGTTCTAACCCCTTCAATTGTTAACAGATTCACTACTAATGCCAATACATATGACATTAAATCTTTCTGGGTGTAGCGAAATAAAAAAAGTGTTATACTAAATCGGCTATGCGTCTTAAATTTCTCTGCTATATTAGATAGTAGTTGTTTTAGTTTAAAAACAACTTCGAAATACTTGAGAAATATATCGTAGTTAAAAGTGCAAAACCGCGTATCAGCGAAATGCAAAACCACGCATGTGAACTTGTAGGATTTATTTTCTAGAGCTTAAAAAACTCATATTTCAAAATGGTTCTCTATTTTATAAAGCAATCGCATTTTTGGCTAGTATATTTCAGGACGAATGGATAAGGATTGAGCCAAGAGCTTGTGTGAGCAAATCCAATTTTTGGCAGCCAATATCAGTTACGCGGTTTTGCAGAATGACGATACGCGGTTTTGTACCTAAAACGACGATATTTAACTTCTCTCGATGTTGTATTGCTGCTCACATGACTTCAATACAAAAGCTAAGGAACACGTACAACTTATAACAGTAAACAACAAATGTTTCTAGTAAATTTCATATACTTAGACCCTCATTGTGAGAGTCGTGTCGAATGCAAGTCGTTTTTCGAGAGTCGAATCGTATCGAAAATTACACGTCATTGCCTAAAATTTCCACTCGACTAGTGTATTAAAACGGAAAACCTTGGCAGCACTGTATGGTTTTCGACGGTTTTGGTCGTTTACTTATTTCAGTACGACAATAGACAATGCTGCTGTTGTCGAGTCGTACAATTTAACCTAATTTACGACTTACGCAATGAGGCTGTTAATTTCTAGAAGAGCTTTTGCAGTCGTTTTTTATCCTCGGCATCCCTGATACGTTGCCCTTCATCGAGCGCTTGTAATTCCTTATTTACAGCCGCTTTTAGACCTGGATCTAACTCCGCAGCTTTGAGAAAATCCCTACGGGCTTCTACCGGATTCCATGCCCCTGCGTGTGCTTTAGCCCGACGGAATAAAGCCTTTATGTTATTTTTATCCAAGTCAAGTGCTTCAGTGCAATGCTCTATGACCGCATAATAATCGCAATCTAAAAGCCGACACTGTGCGTAATTTAAAAGCAAAGGAACTTTGATTTTAGCTAATGCCAGCCATTCTTCGTCGTGCGGTTTTTCTCTAAAAGATAATATACATATATATGTACGTATATAAATTTTGTAAGCCTTACAAGTTTGTGGTTACTCACTTTGTCATAAGTTGTTCAATCATACCCACCGCCTTGCAATAGCATTCCTCTGCCTCTTTATACTTTTTTTCTCTGTATAACTGATTACCCTTTTCCCGCAATACTGCTTGTGCGTTCATTTTCTCTGCATCGTCCATTTGCCAACGTTCCTTCTCGTATTCTTCTGGGTGTTCAATCGAGAATAATTCGATGATGAATTCCAAATCACATGGTTTTGCAAGAAGGTCATCGAGGTCTTTGTAACCGATTCCTTCGTTCTGTAACGTCATTCCACAACAGTGACTTCTTTCGTGTGTGTTTTTTGAAACATCTCGCAATGTTTTCGAGATGAAGGGGTATTGGGTGACAAGCTAAACATGCACTTTTTATTAAATTATGGTATACTATTGTGTAAGCACTCACGGATTTATGTACAGTAAATTTAGCGACTTCATTGAGTGCCATCTTTTGTACGATAACTTCCCAGACTTCCAATTTGAATTTCTTACCAAGTACCAGCTCCATTGGATGGCTCATTGCACGGCTGTCGTCCAGCAACTGCCCATCGTAGGCTTTGCGCGTTTGGAAATGGAATTTTACACGGGTGCCAGGCTTTAATGAAATGTATTCTTTGCCAGGATGTAGTGTCTGTTTTGTTATCAAAGCGTCGTCGATTGAAGGAGTCATGTTTATGTTTGGAAGTTGGATCTGAAACCCAGATTGCACTGTTATTAGAACTTCTAAACTATAAATGGGACTATCGATAGTATCGATGGTTTTGGACTATCGACAGTACATGACTATCGAGGATAGTTCATACCCATAAACCAAAAATACAAGATCACCTAATCAAAGAAGCAAGAAAAAAGTAAATTTCTAAGCGTTTTTGACATCTTCCTAAAACTATGTTCACATTACCAACATAAAATACTTAGTTTCGTTTAAAATACCTCACTAAATTAAGTGCGTTCATACACGCGATTCTTTATTTGTCTTAACAGCTTTGTAGCAACCCTGTGTTATTGTTTATTTAACCAAAAGAGATCGCGAATGTGAGTAATTGCGTATATTTTTATATTCTGAGTTGTTTGTGGTAATTTTTTAGATTTTAGATGAGTGATCAAAAGAGAAAGCTTCTGGAAATATTTTACAAACTACCACGCGCGATTNGTTTGCGACCACTATGCTAAACTGATCTGCTTCTTCTGTGCAAATCAATTCACAACCAAATCCTTGCAAAAAAAGGTGTGTTTATTTATTCATTCCAAACATTCGTACAAAGAATGTAAATCTATAATACCATGTTCTGATCGACATCGAAAACATGTTTTCGTTGCTAAAACTGGTTTTCGACCTAAAACTTGTCTTTTCGTCCATTTAAAATTTGTCAAACGAAAACAAGTTTTCGCTGAAAACCACTTGAAAACTCACGTTGCACTCATTCCAATCGGTGTCTGCACTAGTTTTTTTCGATTATTTATCGAAGTGGAAGTCATATTTTATCATCTTTAATACGCCACTTCGGATTTATTGTTAATTGGCTGACCAAAATAAAATAAATATGGAAGTAAAAAGTTGTTAATGAAAAGAAATTAAAGGAAAACAAAGAACGTTCTTTGGTTAAGCGACCTCAAACATAGCAAGCAGTCAAAGAACGTAAATCTATAAGAGGAGACAACACGTGCCTTCTCTTTTGCCCGAATACATTTTTAGACTGGATGAAAAGAGAAGGCACGCGCCTGATGGGAGTGTGAACATCAGGAGCGTGCCTTCTCTTTTGCCCAAATACATTTTTAGACTGGATGAAAAGAGAAGGCACGCTACTGATGTTCACGCTCGCTACAATTATAACGTGTTGTCTCTTCTTATAGATTTACGTTATTTGGCATGGTTTACAAAATTTTCCGGAATGTCCGGAATGCTTTCTGAACACTTCCGTTTCATTCTCGATGCAACTCTGTTGGGCGTGCAACCGAAGTGCGTAATTCCCTACATCAGNATACATTTTTAGACTGGATGAAAAGAGAAGGCACGCGCCTGATGGGAGTGTGAACATCAGGAGCGTGCCTTCTCTTTTGCCCAAATACATTTTTAGACTGGATGAAAAGAGAAGGCACGCTACTGATGTTCACGCTCGCTACAATTATAACGTGTTGTCTCTTCTTATAGATTTACGTTATTTGGCATGGTTTACAAAATTTTCCGGAATGTCCGGAATGCTTTCTGAACACTTCCGTTTCATTCTCGATGCAACTCTGTTGGGCGTGCAACCGAAGTGCGTAATTCCCTACATCAGCTGTTTGTTGTGATTCTACCCAAATAAAGGGAATTGAAATTACTAACATTCTAAATTTTGTAATTGAACACATTAATCATCCAACTAGTTGCTGAAATTATATCAGAATAATTTTTAATGGCGGTAAGTAGGTGATTTTGAATGTTTTAGCATATTTGATGGTCATTGAAGGACCCGAGCCCGAAGGTTATTTTTACTGCATTGACGCACGGAAAGCAGGTAACTTCTTATTTTAAATTTTGCGTATTTTCGGACATTAATATCGTTAACGGAATCACCACGCACATCCGGTCATGTTCTGTGATTTATGCAAGTTTTCTTCTGATTAAATAAACTAAATATTTTGACAGTAAAAAATTTCTTTAGCGAGGCTATAAAGATGAAAAATGTACAAAGGTGGATATATTTATTATAGACTTGTAGCATTCGCACCAAAGACCAACTGGCGGTACTTCTGAAGCTTGTTGAAGTCAATAAGATTGCCTTGACTCGTAAGAACCTGAGCATCCGGCAACGGATCTGGCAGGTTATAACGCAGAAGCTCAATGAAATGCAAGGTGCTGAGAAAGATGTGGAGGGTTGGAAGCGGGTAAAGATTAGCTAAAATATTGTGTTCTTCAATTAATACTTTCCATTTAAGAGCTACAACGCTTGGCGTTTGAGTACCGGTAAATATTTCGAGGAAGAAAAGCAACGCATTATCAAAGATGGTACCTGCAGTTCTGTTAACCGTATATGTACATATATGCAAAATTTATTTACGCTTCGTTTTCACAGTGGCCGATGATGACTACTTCATTATAAATGTAACCGAAGAGGAGCTTGGTAGTGGGATTGATTACGATGATGGCGCTACTGTGAGTTAGTTTCATTAAGGAGAACAAGTTGTAAAGCTATTTTTTATCACAGTATTTGGACCCGAAAGATCTTCAGTTAACCCGCTTGCATGAGCTTGTGAGTAAACAAAGGCTTCTATTTATCAACACTTCCGAGGATGACGAGCCGCTGAAGCAGCGTCTGTGGCAAAATATAGCAGAGGAGCTAAATAATATACCAGATGGCATTAAACTACCAAAAGAGGAGTGGCAAAAGGTAGCTTATACACTTTGAAGTACTTCAAAGCGTTAAGTAATAATTTTTAAATTTAATTTTTCTTCGGAACAGCGTGTCGATTTGAGACAATATACTGTTCCACGAGGGAGAAAACGAAAGACTTTACGAGGGCCAACAAAATCTGAAGCACCGCTTTTCAAGGACAGAAATGACGAAGTAATCTAAATTAGCCAGAAAACATGATTACATTCACATTTGTTTGTATTTTTTTTTTTGCAGCCAAGCAGAGAAGAAAATGTTAAAGCGTCGGTCTCATACGAGAATGCCTACGAGGAGTATATAATTGAGGAATTTCGAACAACAGACGAACAAACACATCAAACGCATACTACTCTCAACAATGATATAAGGAATGATGTATTTGCTGAAATAGATGATAACGATGATGATACTGATTATGTCATTAAATTACTTAATGACCAGCGTACAAATGATGTAAGTGAAAACTTTACGTTCGATGACTTTGATTCCGACGACGATGATGCGGATTTCGAAAATTTGAAAGTATCAATGATGGTTCCGAAGCTTCTGTCAGACCAAGAAACAAACGTGCAAAAGTAACTCCAATAGTTAAGGCCTTTAAGTATTCGAGCCGCATAACTACGGCCGTAGAAAAATTAAAGGATGATGTTAAAGAGACCAAGGAGATTCTCAAACAAACAAACACCTTATTAAGTCGCATGTGTAATATTATGGAGGACCACAACAAGAAACAAGATGAGACAAATACGCAGCTCAAACGTAATGGACAATTGTTAAAAATTTTAGTAGAATATAAATGTGGTCTGCGGGGCACGTCGAAAAAATGAGATACTACTTAAACAAGAAAACATACTACACTTAAATATTTAAGACGAAAATAATGGTATTGTGTAATAATGCGTTTTCCTTTCTATGCCGGGAACGTCGAAAAAATGAGTTACTTAAACAAGAAAACGACACTTAAATATTTGTGGCCCTATTGTGTATGGCGACTGATAGCCGATGGGCAACGACTACTGACTGTCGGCTACTGAATTTGAGTAGCGCAATTTTCTGTTTCCCGTTTATGACAATTTTGTTATTTGTTAACATAAATTGTTAAACACATTGGAGCAAAGTTGCCAATTATTTCGAAATGTACATGCCAGAAAAGTTAGTTCGAATGTTGTCTACCTTTTTCAGTATACTGAGATTAATCGCCAGACATATCACAAAGTACGATACTGGTAGCTATGGCTACTAGACCAGCAACTAGATACCAGTCGCCATACAAAAAAGGGCCATTAAATATAAAAGCAATGGTATAGCATAGTAATGCGTTTTCAGTTCTATACACGCAACCAACTATTCTTTAAAAATGACTGTAAAATATTAACAAATTGAATTTCAAAAAGGAGGTTATCAATATATCGGATTCCGGGATCCCGGACACTTTTCCATGTCTCGAAATCCCGGGATTACAGCTCCGGGATCCCGAGATTTTTACTGATTCATTTACAGAATGAAAGAGATGTTGAAAACGAAAAAATTAATTAATTTCACATGACACAAGAGAAAATCGGAACACCAAAATTTGGAGTCGAAGTGAACTTAAGCCATTTGTACATGGAAGTGAATTTCAGGACCTGCCTGAATAACTGTACTTGTTCAAATTTTTTGTGTAAGAACTGTGTAATAACGAAAAATCTAGTAGCGATTGAAAACACAACAAGCTTTTACAGTGTGACACGAGTTGTTCTTCATTTTACTTTGTTAGCGTATTTTGGAAAAGTATTTCTGCAAATATGAATAAATGCTTTTGACAAGTAATATAGATATTTTAGAATACTAGAAAAATATTTAAACATCAAATTATGCACTCTTTTACTAAGGGGCATTACCGGAATGCTTCGGGATTGAATGGCCTAGTATCTACATATCCGAGTGGATAATTTCAAGAGCTAAATGCCCATCCTGAGAGTCAAGAGGACTTCCACTCTATATTCCTTTCTTTTTTATATGGAACGGCACAACTTGAAGGGTTTCTTCTTTCGCTACCCATGGAAGGCCTTCCAGAAGGGTTTTTATAGGACGTACTTCAGAAGGTCTTTTGGAGGAGTTCTTTTCATTTCATTTTATTTCATTTCAGTTCTTTTAAAGTTGCTTTTTTAGTTTATAAAAATCATACATCTTGGAAGTATTTGCTTAAAATGTTTATTGAAATTCATTTGTAATGCTAAATAATATAAATNGTTTGCTTAAAATGTTTATTGAAATTAATTTGTAATGCTAAATAATATAAATTTATGCAATATTAAATGGATAAGCCCTTCTAGAAGGCATGCAAGGAATCACTTTCAGCCCTTCATGGCTAGGCCTCTTAGAAGACCTACCTAAATTATCTTCTGGGATGTTACCGAATAACTTAGCACCAGGTGACCCGG